TTATACAAAAAATAATAAAATATGATGAAGAGATTATCAAATTCCTATGTAGTAAATTTCAAGAGCGTATGTTTATTACTTTTTATTTAATAACATTTTTATTACCCCTTTCTGTCAGAGCTTCAGTTTATCATAACGTCAACAACGCACCATAACAACGTCAACCTACCTATCAGTTGCGAAACAGTTTAAAAATTCAGTTATATAAATTTGTAATTACATTTTTAAACCTGTAATTTCTTAATTTTGTTTAATTCTATTAATCAAGTGAAAAAAGTTGCTTTAAAACAGTAAATACTCTCTATTAACTATGATGCGCGAAATATTGCACAATGAAAACTAGAGTCGGACCCCTTAAATCCTTAACACGAATTATTTCATCTGTGTTCCGATTGTTGTTAGAAAATCTCCTGTAATTCTTCGTGTTTTAGTACATTACATAGCATAATAGATCTGGATATTTAAAACCTGTAATCAGATATGATAACTAAAGGATTTTAAAAAAGGTAGCTATTCACAAAGTACATGTTACAATTTCTTGAGTAGTGGAAATAAGAATGGACAGCTTTTAAAGAGAAAATATTTTAGCATTATCCGATTTTTTTCTTTAATTCAAAACTGTTTACCGACAATTAGACTAAGTATCAATGCTTAATTCATTTACATTGTAACATTGAGCTCTTTTTGTATATTGATTATTACTCAGTCTCTGTTGAATGCTGCTTTGAATAATAGATATGTTCTCTTCAAATAACATATATATTATTCAAAGCAGCATTCAACATCGACCTGGAAGAAATCTTAACATTCGTTCCGCGCACTCGAAAGCGCAACAATGTACGATAGTGTATATTCTCCCAGTATCTGATGAGATGATATAATAAATTCAAAATTGCATCTCAACAGTGTTTAATTCAAATAAGAAAAAAAACAATATATAAGAAGTACAAAATAATAAAACAGAAAATAGCTGTTTGATGACTGCAATAATAAATAATACATGGACATTCATTATTCACTTAACATCTTATGTTTTACAGAAAATAACAGGATCTTGTTCGGAGGCAAATTGCGAAATATATCAAAAATGCAACCCAAAATCCCTTGGAAGTAATGAATGTATACTATCAGGTAAGTTTGTTCGTTTGAAGTCTTTTTCAGTGCATTTTATCTAACATTGTGACGCCTGTATTAGTCAGTGATATCTTTTTGAAAAAAGATAAATCTTTTTTGTGCCTTTATACGGATCCCAGTTTTTAGAATCCCTAAGTGCCTGTCTCCTTTTAAGCAGTGGAATTCGAAGCCGCGGCGTAAGAATTAAACTCCATAGAATCAGACTCTAGATTGATTGTATGTTGTTTAACGTCCCTCTCTAGAATTTTCACGTATATGGAGAAGCCACCACTTGCCGTTGGAGAGCTGCGATTTTTTTGTCCTATATTCGGCACTTGGGTAATTGAGCAGGGAAGGATCATTTTCGTGCTAGTATCTACTGTGTAATGGGACCTCGGTTTATACGATCCCTTCCGAAGGACTGGTCTCCACGTCCCAAAGAGGGCCGTAAGAATCAACTCTTTACTTCGCGACTCTAAAACAGACGTTCAATCAGTGTGCAAGGCGGGCAACTGGTGACCAGTAAATAATTGGAAAAAATTTGCTATGTCTATATAAATCCGGAAACTTGGATAGACATAGAATCTTTTGAGATCTTTACAAAAATTATATAGCTGCCTGGATTAATAGAATGTCATTATGGATGAGACTGTTCCATAATAAAACCAATATAAAGAAAAATGTCACAAACAAGAACAACGCAAAATCGAGCATTCCTTTCCATTTTCATTTACATTTTACACATTTCAAGTTCTGTTGGATAATTTACAATTAACAAATTGTGATAGAACAATAGACAATTTATAAAATTAAGATTTACAGTTTTACAAATTCAGGTTTACATTTCAAGAATTACAGAGTTGGAATTTTTGACCTGATGGCTCTCCAAAGTTTCATCGCAGGAGATGATACGATAAAAATGCTCTACCTCAATGACCCTGAGTGCCGAGTAAAGGTCAAAATGTTAAACCTTTTACCAAATTTAAGAAAAAAATTTCGAAAATCTCTAGTCTTTTTTTCTGGATTATAGTTTTAATATTTATCATTTATACACACCAAGACTTTTCCTAAATAGTAAGATGTAATTAAAATTTATGAAAATGCAAGGATGTGTCAATAAAACTCGGCTAAAAATTTGAAGTTTTAATAACTTTTAGATGAAATAAGAATATGTATATTTTTTGTGTGAAATGCTTATAAAATATAAGAAGCTTTTACAGAAAGGGTTTATAAAAATATATACATGTATAAGTCGTAATATTATACACAAAATATTACTTCAAATATGCGCCTTGGAACACACCAGAGCAAATCGAGGACGTCGTCGGTCTGCAACTTTCGATCTGAGCGCATGTAAACAAAACCATGATCAAGAATTTTTTTTATCTGAAGTACACTCGCACATGTAATGAGCGATACGTTTTGACTTAAACATTAGATGAGTTTTGTAAGATTATTAATTGATTCTTTTGACAATCTAAGTTGAACGTTATCGACATACATCTCGATTATGTTAGTTTGCTATTGTTTGCTATTCCTATGCGTTCGCTGCACAGAAATAATAGATTGGAGTATGGAGGCGTAAAAGAGAAATAATTTTAAAAATTTAAAATATTCGTGATTGGAATAATATAAGAATTAAACGTTCTTATTTGCAGAATTTTTCGACGAGTAAGCTCATGCCTTTTGACTCACAAACTTAACATAAAAGAGCTTCCCACTATTCCCAGATAGCAAGACTATGTTGGGCCAACATTGGCAAGAGGTTGTATGGTTGGCATTGGGGAAACAACGTTGGGCCAACGTTGGACCAATGTCACCATGCCAACCTTCTCGACCATGACAGAATTCCTATGTTGGCCAAACGTTGGTCCAACGTTAGCAACTTCCATTCACTTTAGTTCCCAAGGAAGGAGGGATGTTGGCCCAACGTTGGCCAACTGTTTGTAAAACACTTTTAAAGAAAGTGTCTTTTAAAGTTGGTAGTAGATGTTGACCCAACGTTGGCCCGATGTTTGTAATACACCCTTAAAGAAAGTGTCTTTTAAAGTTGGTAGAAGAATGTTGGCCCAACGTTGCCCCGATATTTGTAATACACCCTTAAAGAAAGTGTCTTTTAAAGTTGGTAGTAGTATATTGGCCCAACGTTGGCCCGATGTTTTTAATACACCCTTAAAGAAAGTGTCTTTTAAAGTTGGTAGTAGTATGTTGGCCCAACGTTGGCCCGATGTTTGTTATACACCTATAAAGGATGCGTCTTATCAAGTTGATAGTAGTATGTTGGCCCAACGTTGGCCCAATGTTTGTCATACACCCTTAAAGAAAGTGTCTTATCAAATGGGTAGTAGTATATTTGCCCAATGTTTGTAATACACCCCCAAAAAATGTCTTATCAATTTGATAGTACATTGTAGTATGTTGGCCCGATGTTAGCACGAGTGTTCTTTTGTTTAGGTGTTTCAAAGATGGGATATTTATATTGGGCCAACGCTGGCCCAATTATTATACTGCCAACTAAAGATGGTGTCAATTTTAGCTGCTGAGCTGACATTCTATGTCCATGCTTTTAATTGGATGACTGTTTTTGTTTAGATCTGATATATTCAACATTTTAAATTTTAACTTAAGTGATCACAGCACCAAAGAGTGTTTTATTACGCAGGGGGAATAAGGAAGCATACAAAATATTTTACCTTGACCAAATCAGTGCTACATTATGACGTCATAGTAGGCGTGATGACGTCAATTTTAGAACACAAGTTTTTTTGTAAAATTGGTAATTACAGATGTAATTTAACTGTAGAAAATGAATAGATACGTGTAAACATTAACAAAAATAAAATGTTCCTATTTCGTTATGATGTATTCTGTCATTTTGATTAAAATCTACCACTGATGACGTCATATGTGTACATCAAGTAACTTGAGAATTGATCAGGAATTGATCATGTCGTGTAAAGAGAATTTGGCTATGACGGCATGAATAAAGATACGTAAAATGGAGTTTAAAAGCAAATATCGTGAATATTTTGTGAAATTCATATGGAGTTCAGTTAATAAAACAGGTATGCTAATTCATATTCATCGATTATATTCCCTTTCAAAGACAGTCAGCTATATACGTATCCCGGTCGGCATTTCGTCTGTCGATTGTGACAAAAATAATGCGATAGAACAACAATAAGCTGTATATTTCAAAACATAAAATTTGTACTGATGGAAAGTTTGCATCCTAAAATACTTGGAAAGTGCTGCTAGAATCCCAAGTTAAGCATGGTTTTACGAAAAATCTCAAATCATAGGTAAAAAATTCAAAACATCAGGTAAGGTTTCGTGAGAATGTGTGGAATAATTATTTTACTGACGGGACAGTGGGATTCTAGCAGCACTTTTTAGGCAAAATAGATGTTTTTTAACTTCATTATTTACTCAAAGAAATTATTAAACTCCGGGGTATTGTTGTTCTGTTCGCTTTTTTATTAAAGAAAATTTCGCTATTAATAGAAGTCACGTGATGCTGTGGTGGTGTTGCACGTCGTTGCGTTAGGCGCTCTTTTATCTTTATGCAATAAATAGTAATAGTTTACGCTTATCAGCGGTTTTGGTAAATTATCAAACTAAATTTCCTTTAAAAAGTCTGAATTTCCCGAAAAATGACTTATATGCTTCCTTGACATACCTGCGTATATTTTTTGAATTGTGCACATGCATGATTAGTTATTTGAAATAAAACCCTTGAAACTATGAATTTTTCAATGAGCGTTGTATTCATGAGAATTTAGAGAAGACTGAATACGTTCTCAGGAACAGGATGTGAATGAAGCCTACATATACATAAATCAAAATGACACAGCTTTATAATTAATTGAAACAAAAGTTAAGCGTTCGCTATCACGTGACCAAACTGTGGAGTGAGCTGTCAGATTCAATTGCTCACAGGTGGTGATAATGCAGGGCAAGCAAGAAGAAGTGAAATTTAAATTTCTGGATTATACACTTGCTATACAGCTGCATTTAGAAGCGATGTAAGTATATATATTCTTATTTATTCAGGTTGACTGTTAGAATTGATTCAGAATTCATTCTTGTCATGTTTTTGCTCACAAGCACTGTAAGTTAAGGTTAAATAACATCTTTTAAGTTGTTTCTATCTATCTAATTCTTAACTGTCTATTGCAGACACAATTGCAACAAAGAAATTCAGTCAGAGACTGCAAGGAAAACAAATGTTGTGGCGGTACATGTAAATAACAATGAAATCGAAGACCATGCATAAAGAAGTGTATGAAGTATGAGTCCGTATGACAAAGATCAAGATGAAGAAAACGGGAGGGGACGGAAAAAGAGCGGGAATACAACAAAAGAACTATAATAAAGGAAGTGAGCCCTGAACTTTTAATTGATAATTTTTCATAAATTACCTCTGTGATGAAGTTGAGTTACGTTGTATATTTTCATTGTCATTTTGTAAACAGTTGTAATTATATCCCTAGTTGGGTTCCATGGAGTGAAAGAGTGTTCGCTTACAGAGCTATTTTTAGTATAACCGGTTTAGTCAGAGAGAGTCGTTGCTGTTTGTCAAGTGTGCGGCCACATTTTGATTTTGTTCCTGTAGTCAATTTTCTATGGCGAATTCCAGAAGTTAGTCTGGTGAACGGGTAGCCTAGGAGTCGTATATTTTACTGCATGGGCATTTCTTTCTCCAGCCGTGCGGAGGGATTATGATTATAAACCCGGCGCGGTAGTAAATTTCTGGACCCAAGGGG